TAGTGCAAAGAATTTCCAGTTAAACAAATTAAATTTAAACTAACCTAATTTTTTATTTTGAAAATTATTTTGCACATCTTTTAAGAATAGGCCAAAAAGTTTATGTAATTTTAAGCCCTACATACACACTGACATATTTTTATTTTATTCTTTAGCATTTTAAGATAGAATCGTAGAAGAATTCAGGGAAAAAAATCATATTATTTTATCCACTAGCCTGGCCAGGATTGTAAATTTGTACTAACGTGGAACTAAAATAAAGAAAATAATTACTCAATTTTGGAACATATTAGGACAGAGTATCTAACTATAAAAATATGATAATATTATAGGTTATTTTTTTTTAATACTTCTAAAAGTTGAGATAAGTGGAATGAATCAATATTCATATTATTAAGGGGAAATATTTATAATTCACAATCACCATTAGCATATCTGATTTAATAAATTGACTACAAGGCATGAAAATCACTTGGTTTGGTTTACCCATTTTGTAAAATTGTTGAGCCCAAAAAGATGTGAAGAGTAAGTTGTAAGTACAAAGCATTAGAATTGGAAATCACATTCCATTCCTATCATAATTATGAGCCCAATGTTCATCGTCAATTCGCACCGTTTGTCTTCAGAATGAATTAGGAGGACTCAGATGTAATTTAACATTTATATTTAAAATAAATTTTCTCTTATTAAATGAAAAATCCAAAATGATGATAATTGTCACTATGAAGTCACAAAATAAATAAGTAATTCTATCCAATAATATTACACTATTTTAATCAACCAAAATCTTATGTATAATTACTTTTAATGATTTTATTTTTATAATAAAATATTTGTTTAGTTTCTTACATTTTGTCTCCATTATCATCAATAGTATAATTAATTTATATTATAATTATCTGATGTGACATATTTTATTGGATAGTTTATAAATGAAATGATATATTGGGTTTATATAAAAATTTCTTGTACCGTGAGATACTGAAAGCATATAGTAGACTTTTCTCAACTAACTACATATAAAAAAGTTAGAATTTGAACTCTCAATCATTTATTTAAGTAATGAGAACCTTTATCATCAACATTAATTTTAGTTGATAATTTAAAACAAAATTCAAATCAACTAAATTACTTTAAATGACTCAGATGTTATCATAGTAACAAACACATACTCACTCTGTCCTAAATAATAAGATACTTTAAATAAAATCTCATATATTAATAAATTTTATTAAATACATTTAGCAACTTTATCTTTCTAAAAAAAAATATAAACTTTTTAAAATACTCATCATTTAATATGTAAAAAGAAAAGTGATAAAAATTAATTATAAAAAAAGATAATATTAAAATTAATGTATTTAATAAAATTTTAATCTATTTAAAAAATTTATTTGAGAATGTATTAAAATAGTGAATTGTGTTTGGAATAGATTGGTGCTTCGTTGGACAGATGTGGATCTAACAACTGGCAAAGTTCAGTACCAACACGAAAGAAGACCACACCTCCCAATCACGAGTACTTATGGTTAAAGCCCCTTATCTTCCCACTTGGTTCAGAAGAAATAATTAATATTTAATTAAATTAAGTACAGAAAAAAAAAATGCCGCCCAAAATTTTATGAATTTGAATTAAGTATTCGACTATTTTATTAGAAAATATGAATATTAATCACACGTCATTATTTAGGACCTAACAGTCAAATAAAAATATCAATTAATATTATTTTACGCTCTAAAATACTGATTTTAAATATCTAATTCTGTAGTTCACCTAGAGTAATAATGCAATAATTAACTTCAATGCAAAAGCCAAAAGTAGGAGAATTTGTGGCCGTCGACAAATTCAAATTAATCGTCAATGATAAATATTTCAATGTAAAAGGTGTTTTTTTTTTTTAAATTGAAAAGTGCATAACAAAAATCAGAGTTTACAACATATCATAATCCATAAGAGGATCTCTATCATCTACCACGGCCTCCAATGTAAAAGGTGGGGATTGATCAAATAAACAAAAGTTGTTATATAAGCTATGAGATATTCTAGCTAACCTATCAACAGCAAAATTAAGGTTTCTAGAGAGATGATGGATAATTAAAATCCATTCTCTATGATACAACAATCTAACATTATCAATAATATCCTTAAACGGGTGTTTTATCCACACATCCTTCTTGAATTAGTTAGATCGCTTCAACACAATCACAGTAAATATCAATACTCTTGAGCCCATATGTCCAGCATATTTGAAGTCCTTGTATGATAGCAAGAATTTCCGCAATTGTAGGGGAACATTTATCAGTTTGCAACTAAAACTCTTGATCCAGTTACTATTATTATCCTGGTTTTACTTTAACAGATCCATCCACTTCAAGACTGAAACCATTACTTCTAACTTAGTTACTGGATCTATGCCACATACGATCAACTGTAAAAGGTGTTTTAAATCGACACTTTGTATGGTTGCAAATTATATAATCTTGTTACCATGCAATGAACTTAAATTTAATTTGGTATCAATATAATGAAGTGATAACGATTGGAATTAATTAAATCAAGTAAAAAAGTATTGTAAATTATTCAAATAAAATCAAATTGATATGAAAATCAAATTATTTTGTACTTTCGAACGGAATAAAATTTTTGAATTTGTCTACCAAAGAAAATGATGAATCTAATCAGCTAAGAGGGTAAATCTTTCACAACAGCTATATATATGATTTGAATTTTTGAATTACAATATTCCAATTCATCTTGACCATTGCTTTATTTATATATATATATATATATATATAATATTTCTTATCAAATAATATAAAATCGCATATTTTTGTATAAAAAGAGCTATAAAATTAATATCACTGTGCGTGTATAATATTAAAACAAGCGCACCATCTTTAGATTTGGTTTGGATGGAGAGAAAAGTGAAAAGAAAATAAGGAGAGAAAATTAAAAGGAAAAATTTTCAAATATAACATATTTTTACTATTTTAGGAGTTCTCTTTTCTAGTTTTATTTCTATTTTTTCCCATCAAAACAAAAAGTTATGGTTACTTTTGAATTGCTTACAATATAAAGATATTTATAAAAAAATTGGGTGTCTGCTTTCCAATGCAAGTTTTAGATATCCAGGACAAACTCCCAAACATGCAAATTAGTGTGTAGTTGTTTTAAGAAATTTTGTTCCAGATATGATCGTGGAAATATCTAGTTGCATATGGATTCAATTTCGCTATCTTTGTTCATTCACAAAATGTATAAAAATTCCTCCAGAACTTTGTTCAAGCAAAAGATGGAATGCTTTACTTTAGGAGTGTTCATAAGACGGAACAGGATCGAGACACTTCTATTTTATGTCCCATCCAGAAAAAAATATTGAGACTGAATATTGATCCTGTGTCCCGTCCCGTCCCGTTAGGAGTCAGGACGGGACCGGAATAAGATCAGGACGTCCCGTTGTCTCGATAAATCAGATAATATTGAAGAAATATCTAAATAATAACATTCATTAAAATTTTAAATCATATAATTTATTAAGTTTAAAATTAAAATAACACAAGTACATAAATCACAATAATTTAAAGTTAATTATTAAATTACATTAATCACAACTATACATTATAATAGCTAATACAAGTGATCTTTAGACTATAAGAATAGCAACAACAAGCAAGTCAAGCATAACATCAAATCATTGTTCTTTTACTTTAATTGAGATGTGTTAAATTAATTATTTTTTTAAAAATAAAGCAAAAAATACAATATAAATAAAAGTTATTAGATAAATAGATATGAGAATAAATTATATTAATATAATTAATATATTATAAAGAAAGATATCACCATGTTTACTTTATATCATTAAAATTATCAATATAAAACAACTTTAGTTTTAAATAATAATTACAAATATTGAAATTATAATTGATATAATTAATATAAGTATAAATTATATTAATATAACTAATATATTTAAAATTAAAAATAATATATATATATATATATAATATTTGGGACAGGATGGGACGTTCCAATAGTAATTCTGTGTCCCGTCCTGTCTCGTCCCGAATCCTTTTCCTATCTCATCCCGTAAAGTCTTGCCTTAATTATTTTTGAATCGGGACAAGACCTGTCCCGATATGATCAGGACGATATCGGGTCAATTGAGACGAGTTCAAATTGAACACCCCTACTTTACTTATCCAAAATTTGCACAATTGCTTAGGGTTAGGGGTCAATATTTTCAACTATCCAATCCATTGTTGTGGCAAAGAATTTAGGTCGCATCAAACGTAGCTAAGACATGCGTTCAGAATTGTAACAAGTGCTTGCTTGGTTTGGTGTTAAGAAGGCTCAAACATTAGTTAAATCTCCTTAACACTGGCTTGCTTTAACCAGAAAATCTCAAGAAACACTCGCTACATTCGACAAGAGAACACTCGGAATATAAAACTTTGAACCCTCCCATATTGTCAGACACCGAAGTTGCAGGCTCGCAGGAGTAATACTATTCTTCCACCCTCCTATTGATCTTCCAGTGAAGCATGGCCCGCCCACCCATGATATCCTTACGGCGAAGGAAGTGTTACGAGCAAAAAGATTAAACGAAGAGAAAAGAAGAGGGATGAGTCCTCATAAAGAAACAACGTTCAAGAAGTTGACAAGGTTAATTATTATAATATTATATTATAATTTATGAAAATTATAATACATATAATTTCCAGCCCCACCTAACAAAAGAAAACTCCTCGTCGTTTTCTACCTTTACATTTCCAAATTACATTATTTAATTAAGCTTCAGCTTGTTAAATTAACCTTTATTTTTTTAAAAAAATACATCTCAACATAAAATTACTTTACACTTCTATCCAAATTACAGATTGTGAAAATTAAATTTTCGCAAACATGATCGAAACACACTGCATCTTTAAACAAGGTATACAAAATCAAAAATCAGCGCCTCAGTGGTAATATATTCCACAAAAAGAAGACGAAGAAAAAAGTAGAAATATAAAGGCTTTATATTCTAATTCTACATTAAAACAAGATATGGTGGTATTATGAAAGCTGAAACCGAAAATATTTGGATGAAATCATGGCAAGTCCCACGAATACATGGCGGGGAAACAACTAAATTCACAATGTACAGGTTCCAGAAGTTGGTAGAGTTTTTAGACAGCCGAAACTGCATATCACAAAAAAAGTAAAGGGTAACCTCCACCAAATCCACGTGTCAGCATTCAATCCCTCCTCTTTTTCTTCTTCTCATTCTTCTCTGCTGAATTCTTCAACTGCAAGAGAATCATTACAAATTACACCCAGTTAAAAACCAAACAGAGGAAGAAAACAACTATTTAGAAAATTGAAAAGAACGGTCAAGTTGAACTTACCACAATTATGAGAATACGGACAAAGATTGCAGCAAAATCAGTGAAGAGGGTCAAGGCATGCTTCACATAGTCCAGATCCCCAAAGTGAGCCCTCTCAATTATTTCTTGGGTGTCAAATATAATGTAGCCCACGAATACCAAAAGGCCAAAGTAAAGCTGAAATGTTAACAAATGAAGTCATGTCAAATTTATAACCAAAGCTTGTCAGATAGCCTATTTAACTTGTAGCAGGAAGGAAGTAAAGCTAGCGCAGCTTCAGAGTTCAGATTGCCACAGGATATCACAACAAAAACAGGAATAATCCGAAAACTCTACCTCAAACTTAAAGACCGCAGCCGCACCGCCAAAGATGGAAGAAGCGAAGTGCAACCACATAAGAATGGACAATCCAGAAGAAAGCAAACCACCAAGATAGAGGTACTCTCTGCGCCTAGCCACTAAAGCTGCCGCTGAGAAAGAAGCAAAGGCCAATGAAGTTCCCACAAAGGCGGTGAAGATAAGGCTGAAACAACGAAAGAAAATGTTAAAAATAACCTAAAATTCAAAGGACCACGAAAGCCATGGAAGCCACTGTAAAGTCAAACAGCTTGGGAGAGACAAATAAAGAAAGAAGGAAGGCGAAAATATCAAAATTAAAAAAAAAAAGTAAAAGATGATATGCATTAAGCAAGCCGTCATCTTGCGGCTTACAAAATCACTCATAAAAATCCTTCTTCCTTGAAATACCAATGTGATCTTATCTTACCGCACACAATGTAGGGATGGTAAGAATGTAGGATTAAAATATCAGCAAGGCTTTGCAATATTTAGATTGGCTTTGCAATATTTAGATTGCATAACGGAAATCAGAGCCAGAAACATCGGAAAGGTTTTTTCCGTCATACACAGATACAAGGGAAATCAGTAGGCATAATGAGCTGAACAAACACGAATGGAAGGGCATAGACCAGATAAGGAAAACATTTTAGAGCTGAATGGAGTCATGGATTAATACCTTGGATCAACTTCAATAGCCAAATCGATCAAAGGTCCAATGGAGGCCCCCTGAAACAATGAGGAAGCCATCAACAAAGCAACCCTCTTTTTCTGCAAATCATGAGACAGAAAGTGAGTTACAGGTGTATTGTAGAACATGATAATATAATGTAAGTAGAAAGCCGCAGAAGCGGCAGATTCATACCTCTTCATAAGGAGGTGTGGACAGCAACCAAACAATGCTCCCCAGAGATGCGACTGTTGTCAGAAAACCGCCGATGTTCCCCAGGATATGAAGGTAAGCTCCAACGGCGGCAGCAACCACAGCACAGCATAAAGCAAGATAAACCTGAAATAAATTTCAGAATGAAAAACAATGAAAATTTGACAAAGTATCGTCTAAAAATGAATAGGATGATTGATAACAAATGCAAAGCATTAAGAGGTTAAAGAAATTCGTTGCATGCTTTGCTCCAGGAATTTCTAAACTCCAGACAAATATCATATCCAGAACTAATCCAGGAAAAAATTGAATAAACAAACAAAGTTCAGCATCAAGTTCTTCGACCATCGATATTATCACAAGAAAAAGGAATTAATATGGAATAACATGAAATATTATTAGCATGATAAATATAATACCAAGAATTCTTCATTTTAGTTCGTAATCCAAAACCGGAAATCAAAATTAAAAAAATTCTTTCATGATTACAACAGAAACCCTAACTCGTGAATTCAGATATTCACAATCTTACGCTGGGTAAATCTAAATCAAGATGCAGAAATATCTGCGAGAACCCTGACAGTAGATTAGAGAAGGCCAAAAAAAGAAAAAAAACCTGCTTAATGTGACTCTGGACGACCGGAGAAATCTGACGGAAGTTCTTGAGAGTATCGTAATTCCAGCGGTTTCTGGAAGACGAATCGAAAAAAGAAGTGAATGCGTCCATCGGAATCGAACAAAGAGCGCAGAAAGTCGCAATAGAATTCGTTGACGAGAAAGCAAGAAAGGAACCCTGGTCCCTGAGAATGGAAATCGCAACAAGTAGGTGGAATGGCAGATAAATGCGATTGTTTAGTTATATAGCGTTCACGGACACCTCGTGGAAGGAAGGTATGAGGGAGGATCAATTTCCGGGAGATTTCTGATATTACGAAATTACTATAATATCCCTACTGGAATATGAATAACTTTCTCGCTGCTGCTAGCAATTTCGCGAAAGTTAAGAGCGTGTGGCCCCATTCATTGATGATCTCACACAAAAGCAGATCGGAAATTTTTAATTCCAGAAACTTCTACGAACGAGAAATAATAATTAAAAAATAAATAATCCGTTTATTATTCGATGGAGGGTAATATAAGAAATGATATTGGGTGGAGTCCGTGACATGAGTTGATTGTACTTATTCCAGTGGGGCTTAATTCGAGGTAGTCAAAATAAATCCGTACATATATAAAGATCAGATAATCAAGCATGATTCTAATACTCTTGGGCTTTTAGGCTTTTTCAGGTTTGTTTAAATACCTGAATTATTAATTTTTTCATTTTTTAAAATAAAATTTATTTTTTTAAAATTATTTATTTTTATTATTATCAACAAATATAAAATATATTTTTAGAATAATTAAAAAATATAGAAAAATAATTTTTTTTGAAAAAAGTTATGGTTTTAAAGTTTAAAAATCAAGATCAAAATATATTTTACAGATTTAAAAAAATAAACATATAAAAATGTTAATATTTTTATTTTTTAAGAAAATATCTATAATTATAAACTCAAATACATTGTCTCTTAGTATAAAATAAATTAAAATTCAAAAGATTAATTTAATCTTTAATATGTTTAATTTTTTTAAAAGTAAAATGTTATTTGGACATTGCCAAGCCGAATCTCAATTGGGCTTGACTTGAGATTTTTTGAGCCACTTTGAGACTGTCCTTAATGGACTCAAACATTAAGAATATGTTACTTTGTTAAGCATGTTCCTAATTTCATTTTCAGATTTTTTTACGTTGGCCCTTCAAACTTGAACTTAATTACCAGCTGTCTTTGTAAATTTGAAAAAATAACAATAAATAAATTGTAAAAAACATATTATAAGTTATAAATTTATGTAATTAAAAATTGAATATATGATTACAAAATTAAAAATATGTGCATTAAAGGTATTTTTGAACCTTAATGATTTTTAAACAAAAATTATAGGAAACATGTCATTCAAGGACTACTAAGGTAAATTAATATCTAACAAAGATTAAAATATTTTAAAATATCATGCAAGATGGACTGGAAAATAATTTTAGATGTGAAAGAATTACAATATCCTTGTTTTTCTTTTATTTTTTTTAAAACTTATTAACTAGCGAATGATTTATTGTTAAATGTAATTGATACTTATTAATGAATGAATAGTTACTTATTGAAATATAATTTACAATTGTTCCTTTTCACACGCAAGTTCTTTTGAATTTTTTAGCTTATCAATTAACAAATGACTTCTTGATTAATGTGAATAGGTATTTGTTAATGTATGAATAGTTACTTGTTGAAACATGATATACATATGTTTCTTCTCACAACCAAACTCTTTTAAATTATTAAACTTGTAAATTAACGAATGACTTTTTTTTTAAATACAAATTGATACTTATTAATTAATGAATAGCTATTTATTGAAACATGATATACATTTGTCCTTTTCCACAAACAAACTCTTTTATGTTCTTGGATTTGTCAATTACTAAATGACTTATTATTAAATACAAATGTGCACTTATTAATTAACGAATGATTACTTATTAAAATATAATCTGCACTTATCCCTCCTCACAAGGAAGCTCTTTCATATTCTTAAACTTGTTAATTATCAAATAATTTTTTATTAAATGTAAATGAGTACTTGCTAATTAACAAATAACTATTTATTAATTTAAAAAGAAAAACAGCAATATTATAATATTTTTTCATTTAAAATTATTTTCAAATCAGCCCCTTAATTCTGTATTGATATTTTAAAATTATTTAATCATTGGTTGATATCTTTGAATGATATATTTTCAAAATTATATTAAAGAGAAGTAATTCAATATATTTAATTTGACAGTCAATTAATCAGTTGTGAATAAATATAACAAGAATTTTTAAGAGTGGATGGAAGATTCTTATTATGTGGCTTTTGAATTTCAGAAGGACGTATAGACTTTAAAAGTAAAAGAAAGGTCTTTATAATTAAATAAAATAAAGAGAAGGTGAATATATAATTTTAATGATTTAAATTATGTTAGTTAAATTTTTTATAATCGGAAAAAACTATAAATATATGATTTTAATGATTTAAATATTTTTTTATTTTAATGTTATTCTTTTTGCCCCATCAAAAAAAAAAATCTCTTTTTGAAGTTTTTTGGCCGCGTAGAGTCAGTTAAATTTGGAAACGCTTTCCAAATATTTTGCTATAACTTGTCGACTAAGTAACGAACTATTATTATTATTATTATATAATCATTTTCCTAAAAAATGCAATGCATTTTTTCTTTGTATGGTTGCCGTTGACTAACGTTGTTGAGAACATATCAGCATATATCTACGTAGCCTAGCCAATGGAAGCTTGACAGATCGGCCTTGCATGCACCATGAGCACCTTCCATCCAGATCGCTCTATTTGTCTCGGGAAAAGATAAACTGGGAAAAGAAAACGGACCCTCAAAACTTGGCGTCACTTCATGAAATTTGAGTAGAAATTAATTTTAAATAATTTCTCATTTTAATAAAGATTGGGACTTTTTAAAATTTTTAAAAGCTCAACTATTGTACTCGGCCACAAACTCAGAAAAATTTAGTAATTGAAGCAATATTCATATCAAATATAATTATAAATATTTTTCAAAAAGAATCTAATTGTAAATATTAATTAAAATAGTATATAAATAAATTATAGGAGAATTTTAAAAATATATATTAATTTCATTTATATCATAAATTTATTTTTATAATAAATATAAAAGTAAAGAATATTTTTAAATATGTATGCTTGATAATTTTAAAAAAAATACGAGACAATTGATTTTTTATGAGAGCAACTACCATTTTTAAAAAGGGGGCAAATGTAATTTTGACAAAAAAAAAGGTATAATATTTGCAACTTTGTATAACGTGGGTACATCCCTGACTGTACTGGGATAATATTCAAGATTTTTAGAAAATCTTTTAATTCAATTTTTTGTCATCTTTAATGATACTTTTTAAGTAGCAGTACCATTAATATTACCTAAGCCATCAATGTCAATTTTAACCCAACTAGGTTCCAAAGGCCTTCACTTAACTTCATATATGTGTTCTCTTTTGCTCAATTGGTTGATCTTATATTGACATTTTAGGCCGTTGATTATCTGTTGAGTGCAGAAGAAGACAATGCCACTTTCCAGAATATCATCTTTATAATTGGCTTTCCATATGTTCGAGCATGTTTGGACAAAAAGTTTTTGCCTAGGAGTCCTTCTTGTTATCAAACTACCTACTTCATTTTTAGCATTTCAAATTATCTAATCAAGCACAACAAGAGAGAAAAAGGTATTAAGTTTTGTGTGATTCACTAATCTTTTTCAAATCTCTTGAGCTTCCTTGCAATCACAAAAAATATGAATAGAAGAGTCAGTGAAGTTACAACCCAAGGGGCATATATGTTGCTGAGAAGTATTTTCATTAGCATATGTGCAGTTGGTTTGGAGATGATCCCAAACAACTTTGCAAAGGAAATACTTAATTTTCTTATAAGTGGGCTACTTTCAAATCCTATGCCACATATCTGAGTAGTTGTTTTGGTTGTTTCGGATATCTAAAGCTTTGTGAGCAGATTTAATGGAGAAGTTAACATTAGAGGAAGGCCTAAAAAAAAGATCATTATCACCCTATTGGTTAGAAGGTTGTATAAGAGCAATCTATCTAGTCACATCAAAGTGGAGGTAGCATTTTAAAAGATCAAAATTTCAACCACTTGCGGTATTGTAGAAATAGAAGACTCTTGCATGACGAATAGAATTGGCATTATGGAAAGCATATCTAACAAGGGGGTCAAGGATTGGAGACCATTTATCATACGAGAATGATATCTAGTCTCCTCTACCTACTTTTTATAATATCCATCTCGACATTACCAAGAAAACACTTATACACGCCATTGTGATAACTAGGATAGAATTAAATAAAATCCCATAAAGAAGTTATCACAACCCAATGGTTTAAAAGATAATTAGTTTAAAATATTAGGATCCCAAGAAAACCCTTTTTAAAATATTGTTTGAGCTCAAACCATGGTTAAAAATTAATTTAGAATAAATACAGAAGCATGAAAATCAAACCACGTCAAATTACGCTAAAAAAGCCACTTTTCAACAATTCTAGTCCGTTCGCCGCCATGCCCGCCACAGTGGATGGCATTGCCTTTCAAACTTTTGGAGCACGCTGTTTCACCATCCAATATCTAATTTAGACGATTCAAGTGTCTACACGAAGTTCTTTGAGCCCTCTAGCTAATGGTATTAGTTTTACACTCAAACAATCATTTGTTTAAAAGATGAATACCTGAACCCAAAATGATTTGTTTTCATATCAAAACACATAGAAAGGTGACCAACTCACAATGCCAATTGCCATTATCCCCAGAAATACTTTGACCACCTTAAATGGATCACACACAACATGGCAATTCAATCATAACATATAATTAAGCATTCACACTCAAAATAACTATTAAAACACCCATTCACAATAACATAAAGGGGTGGATAAAATCTAACACACGTATCAACTTAGTCATTTTGGTACATTCATCTCTTTAAATATATCACATATAAATGTAACTTGGCCAAGCACACAAACTTAATCCACAACATCAACCTTGGACCAAGATACAAACACCCTTATCACAAATTCTTATCAAGGGATAATCACAACAATGTTATATTCCTAAGTTGATATATATATTGATAATATTCATTATAATACCCAAAAAGAGAAAAGGAAAGAGCTATACAATTATG